GCCCACGGAATAAGAAAAGATTTTCACCAGCCGAGCATTGGTGGTGCACGCCTTTAATCCCAACACTCGGGAGGCAGAGGCAGGCGGATCTTTGTGAGTTCAAGAGCAGCCTGGTCTACAAGAGCTAGTTCCAGGACAGCCTCCAAAGCCACAGAGAAACCTTGTCTCAAAAAAACCAAAAAAAGAAAAGAAAAGATTTTCACCAACCCCACATCTGACAGAGGGCTTATTTCCAAAATATATGAAAAAACTCAAGATGCTAATCACCAAAACACCAAATGATTCAATTAAAAAGTGGGGTATAAAACTAAACAGAGAATTCTCAATAGAGAAATCTAAAATGGCTGAAACACACTTAGGAAACTGCTCAACATCCTTAGCCATCAGGGAAATGCAAATCAAAACAACTCTGTCAGAATGGCTAAAATTAAAAACACCAATGAGTTTATGCTGGAAAGGATGTGGAGAAAAGGGAACACTTCTTCACTGCTGGTGAGAGTACAAACTTATACAGCCACTTTGGAAGTCAGTATGGAGATTCCTCTGGAAAATGGGAATCAGTCTACCACAAGATCCAGCAATTCCACTCTTAGGCACATACCCAAAATATGCACATTCAGACAAGGACTTCTGTTCCACTATGGTCATAGCAGCATTTTTTGCAATAGCCAGAACCTGGAAGCAACCTAGATGTGCCTCAACTGAAGAGTGGATAGAGAAAATGTGGTACATTTACACAGTGGAGTACTACTCAGCAGAAAAAAAAACAATGGAATCCTGAGATCTGCAGGCAAATGGATGGCACTAGAAGAAACCATCCTGAGTGAGGTAACCCAGTCACAAAAAGACAAACATGGTATATACTCACTCATATACGGATTTTAGACATGGAGCCAGGGATTGCCAGCCTACAATCCCACCACCAGAGAGTCTGGGAAACAGGGAGGACCCTAAAAGAGATATGCATGATGCCTCAGAGAACGAGAATGGGACAGGATCTCCTGAGTAGATTGGGAGCATGAGGGGAGGGGAGAGGGAACTGGGAGAAGATGAGGGAGAGAAGGACATGGGGGAGCACAAAGGTTGAATCAGGGAAGAATAGAGGAGAGCAGGATGAAAGATACTATAATAGAGGGAGTCATTATAGGTTTGAGCAGAGATCTGGTACTAGTGAGATTTCCAGAGATCTACAAGGATGACACCAATTGGCAATCTAAGCAATAGTGGAAGGGCTTAAATGCCCTTCCCTGATGAGATTGATGACTACCTTATATACCATTCTAGAGCCTCCATCCAGTGACCGATGGAAGCAGGGCAGACACCCACAGCTAAACACTGAACTGAACTCCTGGAACCCAGTTGCCGAGAGGGAGGAATGATGAGGCAAGGGGTCAAGACCAAGCTGATAAAACCCACAGAAACAGCTGACCTGAGCAATGGGGAGCTCACAGACCCCAGACTGATGGCTGAGAGACCAGCATGGGACTGATCCAGACCCCCTGAATGTGGGTGTCAGTGAGGAGGCCTAGGCAATCTATGGTGCCTGGGGTATGAATGCACATTGTGAGCCCATTCCCCATAGAGGGATGCTCTCTCAGCCTGGACACATGTGGGAGGGCCTAGGCCCTGCCCTGGATGATATGACCGACTTTGGAGATACGCCATGGAGGGCCTCACCCTCCCTGTAGAGCAGAGGGGGATGGGGTGGGGGTTGGATGAATTGGTAGGGGATGGGGAGGAGGGGAGGGAGAGGAAGCTGGGATTGACATTGAAGCAAGCTTGTTTCTAATTTAAATTTAGAGAGAGAGAGAGAGAGAGAGAGAGAGAGAGAGAGAGAGAGAGAGAGAGAGAGAGAGAAATATGGTAGTAGGGAATTGTACAGAGATCCCAAGGATAACCCCAACTAGGAACCTAAGCAATAATGGAGAGGCTACCTTAAATGCCCTTCCCCTATAATGAGAATAATGACTATCTTAAATGCCATCCTAGAGCCTTCAACTAGTAGCTGATGGAAGCAGAATCAGAGATCCACAGCTAAGCACTGACCCAAACTCCTGGAATCCAGTTTCAGAGAGGGCGGAATGACAAACAAAGAGGTCAAGACCACACTGGGAAAACCCACGGAAACAGCTGACCTGAGCAAGTGGGAACTCATGCACCCTAGACTGATAGCTGGGGAATCAACATAGGAATCAATATGTAAATGACATATAGAATTTTCATTTTGGGGCCATTGAGATGTCTCAGGTAGTAAAGGTATTTGATACCAAGAGTATCTGAGTTCAATCTTTTTTTTGTTTGTTTTGTTTTGTTTTGTTTTTACGAGACAGGGTTTCTCTGTATTGTTTTGGAGGCTGTCCTGGAATTCACTTTGTAGACCAGCCTGGCCTCGAACTCACAGAGATCTGCCTGCCTCTGCCTCCCGAGTGCTGGGATTAAAGGTGTGTGCCACCACCGCCCGGCCCGAGTTCAATCTTAGGACCCACATGATGGAAAGAAAGAACTAGTGCCCATAAATTGTACCAACTTCGTATGCATGTGGCATGAGCATGATCATACACATGCAAACAAACAAACAAATAGGTTTTGTTTGGGTTTTTGAGACAGGGTTTCTCTGTGTAACCCTGGCTATCCTGGAACTCACTCTGCAGATCAGGTGGCCTTGAACTCAAGAGATACCCTGATTCTGCCTCCTGGGCGCTGGGATTAAAGGTGTGTACCACTTGTAACTAAATACATGTGGTTTCTGTTTTTTGTTTTGTTTTTATTTTTTTAAGAATTCTCATTGCTATGGAAGGTGATTGAGTGGCATGGGATGTAAATGGTATCTTAACGACCACATAGCTAATGTTAGATTTGATCATCACATTTGTAGCAAGTTACAGTTTAATTTATTAAATAAAATATGTTTGTCTCTACTACTGTCATATATAATGAATTCTCAATCACATCAATAAAACATCAGCCAATCTTAGACTGCCAACCGATCAGATTGGTCATTCTCTGGATGTAATATTATCTTGTTTATGAGTATTGCCTATCCACATTGCTATGTGGAGTCCCTTGTATCTCCTAGTTCTCAACATTTACTGATACATGCATCTTCTCTTTAAAAATAAATTCTGTAAATGTAATATTCACTTTAATAATGTTTTTGGTTATTCTTTTAACATGAGGAGGAAAGCTGACATTTGAACATGAGATCACAACCTTCAGAGAAACCAGGCTTTCACTGGCATGTTTTTTCCAGATGTCCAACATTTCCAGACATGATCTCAGCATGTTTTTCATCTGGGATAGTACTGCACAGTGGTTAAGAATATGCCTCTTGACATGAGATTTGAATTCTGCCTCCTTTCCTTGTAAGCTATGTAAATTATCTCTTTGTGCCTCAATGTTCTCATCAGTAAAGTAGGATTAGTACTCTAACTTCTTCCCATGGTGCTTAGAATTGAGCCAATATGTACTAATGGATTAGAAGAGTTCCTGTTGTATAGCACCCACTAATTAATATCTGTTTTTTTCCTGATGCAAATGTGGTGGGCTACATCATGTGAGATAAATCTTATTTGTTTGTTATTACTAAGCTTTACAACTCACTTCAATGGACTTCTATCCATTTGATTAAGGAACCAAGTTTCAACTTTAAAAATTTTTTTAAAGCCAAGAATCAATTTTAGCTTTATTGCTATAAAATTCTAAGGGCCTCTTCTGTGATTCACCTATAGAAGCTTGCCAAAGATCCAAACAGCATTACTGCCGTTGACAACTAAAATACAATAGAACCTGCTGTATCTTGTGATCCAAGTGGCACAAAGGCCACATAGCAGCCTGGACCTGTTGAAAACTCTTCTACTGGTCTAGACTCCGCTCAAAACTAGCAACTTTCCAACTCATTTGCTGTATGAGTTAAAGTAACACATCAAGTGAGGAATGCACTTCCTTCAGATTCCAAATAGGCCCACTGAGCCTTGTGCTTCTTTCTTAGTGATGGAAGGGGAAGGGTGCAATTGCTTGTTCTTCACCTTAGACAGGATATGTCTGTGAATCTTTCTTGTTTATTTATTTCTACTTTATTTTTTACACATTTTATCTAAATTAAAAACAACCTTATTTTACATATCAATCCCAGTTCCCTCTCCCTCCCATCTTCCCATGCACCCCACCAACCCCCCATCCCATCTCCCCATTCACTCCCCAGGGAGGGTGAGGCCTTCCATGAGGGATCATCAGAATCTGTCAAGTCATTTGGGGCAGGGCCTAGACACCCCCCACCCCCCGGCCCCCCACTTCCCCCACCCCCCCATTCCCCGACCCCCCCCACCCCCATGTATCTAGGCTAAGAGAGTATCCCTCTATGGGAAATGGGCTCCAGATCCCTGCGTGCACTAGGAATACATCCTGGTTCCACTGACAGAGGCTCCATAGACTGCCCAGTGCTCCTAGCTAATACCCACATTCAGCGGGCCTGGTTTGGTCCTATGTTGTGAGACTATAAGGGTAAAAGTATAAGTATAGTACTAAAATCTATAATCTGGTGCCAAAAGATCTCAATCTAACACTAGGACTTTAATTACATGCAATAAATAGGAAATTATTGAGAGCACTATGTTCACTAAAAACTGTCAACTCAGATATATATATACAAGCAATACTTAATAGATTCAGTAAGTTGCCTGAATATATATATATATGTATATATATATATATATATATATAAAAGAAAAAGAGGCAATGAAATTGAGAGGGAGTAAGGAGATGACATGGGAAGGGTTGCAAAAAGGGGTAATGATGAAATTGTATTTTAATTAAAATTTGAAAATCCAAAAAGCTAGTGAAAAACAATCCACACACACAAAAAAAAGTCAAGTCAAATTACTAAATAGGATTTGTAGCCACAACTTACAGATTGGCAATAAAACAAAGTTTTAAGACCCTTTCCCGAGTATCCAAATCACTAATAAGAACCCAAGCACAAGATACCATAGCATTTACTGTACCTCTTTGATGATTCTCGCCCCTCTTGCATCCTTGATATTAACAGCTATACTCTAAAATTCAAAATGTATATATTAAGATGTTTTCATAAACATTTTCATTATTACTGGTAGTTCAGCAACAGAGCCATTCATACACAAATTCTCACTGTAAAGCAAGCTTAGTCTCTTTATGAACAAATATTTAAGTCATCTTTATTGACTTCATTTACAATCAGAAAATTTACCTAACAGCAATAACTACAATAAATACCTTTCAATAGTAATACTGTGTAATACCAATATAGAAGCATTAAATGTCAAGAACCAAATTATTTGTCTTTCACAGAATATTTCCATTATGAATTCTCATAATTTCTTAAGTTATTTAGTAGAGAAATAGTAATACAAACTCTATTGCTTAGATTAGATCATGAAGATTTGAAATATTAGTTACATATCAAAAAGCAAGCCATAATATCAAAAGTTTTATAACTGCCAAGAGAATTACAGAAATAAAGAAAAAACAGGAAATAGTCTTACTTTTTTATTTCGATTAACACTAAGGAAATATGTACTTTCTGTGTTCTCAGAAGGAAGTCCCCAAGTTCGTGTGTCATCACCAGCTCCTATAAATGATAATATGACCTATTAATTGCAAAACAACTGGCTCACTCCTGTGCACACTCCTCGGTACCCAAACAAGTTCAACTCATCCTAAGGGGTCCTTACCCTTTGGGGGGATTCTGTAGCTCAACAGAACTCCCCAGATCTCCACGTTTTTAAAGCCAACTGTCAAATCAATCCATATTCACTTTCACTAACTTATAGTAAGTATTGAAGGTCAAAATTCAGAAGGAATTATTTTATTAGTGGACTTAGATTTGACAAACAGCAAACTTAGGGAGCATTTCTCAATTTTTGGTAAGCATGCTAATCAGTTCCTTCATTATTTCTTGGCATTGAGTGTGAAATGAAAATATAGAATAAACCAAAAATGTGTGTTACATATTACTTAAATCTAAATAATAATGTGAATATATATATGCTAAATTAGAATAAGTGGCTGAGTCTGTAACAATGACTAATAATCTATAAAATATTTCTGTAAAATTATAAAAGCCTAGACAGAGGTCGGGGCAATGGCTCTGAAGTAAGTAATGTGTTTACTGCTCAAGCATAAAGACCACAGTCCAAATCCCCTGAATCCATATAAATTTCAGGTAGGTGTGGCAGTCTGCCTTTATTCCCAGTTCCTGTTAGACAGAGAATCCTTAGAGTAATATAAATACAAATGTTAACTTGCTTGCCAACTAAAATGACAAGAGAATTAGAATGGATGTTCTATCTAGGAACTGATGATGCAACAAAAGCAGTAGTTTAAACTGAAGCCTGTAATCTCAACACTGAGGATGCTATGGCAGGAAGATCATGAGTTTGAGATCTATCTCTCTATGTGTCTATCTCTCTGTCTCTGTCTCTGTGTGTATCTCTGTCTCGATGTCTGTTTCTATCTCTCTGTCTCTCTATTTCTCTCTCAAAAAACAAAATACAAAGAATCAAGAATAGGTATAAAATGGGCAGTGGTGGCACAAGCCTTTAATCCCAGTCTCCAAAAACCAAAAAACAGTAAGTTCATACTATTATAAAGTATTATCTTTTGAGTCTTATGGATAAATATCTACTAAGGAACTGGACTAGACCATTCTCACTGATTTGAGAATTCTTCCCCAGGTCCTCAAGAATCAGATCTTTGAAAACAAATGGTAATGTGATTTTGTTGTTGTTTTTTGAGACCTGTTCTTATTTAGCACATGCTGGCCTAGAACTCATTAGGTGGTAAAGAATGCCATTGAACTACTGATCCTTTCAAGTCCATCTCCCTAGTGCTGGGATTACAGGTAGGCACTACCACACAAAATAATAATAATTTTTGAAAACTCCAAAATGAACAAGTTAAAGGATAGTATACAGAACAAGAATGATGGGGATTATGCCTAAGTACTAGTTAGAGAACAAGAATGTGCCACATTAAGACTTTCTGAGAATTTTATCAATAATAACATGAACTAACGGGTTGCCAAAATGCTAAAAATGGCACCAAATAAAGTGAGAAATGTGAGAAATGTGTACACACAGTGTTTACTTAGTATGCAAAAGAGAAAGAATGAACTGGAAACATGAAATGTCCTCCTACTGGAGTCTGAGTCTTTAAGGCTCCAGGCCAATCTGGGGTAGGTAAAGAGATGCGATAGATAGATAGATAGATAGATAGATAGATAGATAGATAGATAGATAGATAGATAGACAGATAGATAGAATTTTTTAGAAAATAAGAACTTCCAAAGAATGTATCTAAAATTAGCTTTCCCCCCCTCAAATTTTTATGATAGTAAAATGGCAAAAGATATCTTTTATTTGAAAATAATGATTTAGGTTAGAGTATTTGGGTTTCCTGTCGAAGAACTTTGATTCTTTTTTCTTCTCTCTAGCTGTATCCCATTTCCTCCTTTTTCTGCTCCTTTGCCCTTCAACCCCAAGTCAGGGAGCATATAGTCACAGTAACCTATGGAACTACTCATACCAGGATCAGAAATGAATACTTGTACATTCCTTATTAAAAGTGAGAGCTTGAACTATCTCAGCCTAGATACACGGGAGAGAGCCTAGGCCCTCCCCCAAATGAGGTGACAGACTCTGATGATCCCCCATGGAAGGCCTCACCCTCCCTGGTGAGTGGATGGGAGTGGGATGGGGGGGTCGGCCGGGGCCATGGGAGGATGGGAGGGAAAGGGAACTGGGATTGATATGTAAAATAAGATTGTTTCTAAATTAAATTTTTTTAAATCTAAAAGAAAAATGCTTGAGCTTGAATAAATTATCTTACTTCTTGATGCCTTTATTTTCTCACTGGTACATTAGGACTGATTAATTCATCAGCTTATATAATTGTTGCAAAGATTAAACTAAAATCAGCAGAGGGCTTAGAGATTTGCCTAGCACTATAGTTATGTTACCAGCATTGTAATTATCATAACAGAACTTTCCAGGACATGAGAAGGAACTGACTACACACATTAAAAAAAGATAATTAGTATAGATACAGAGAAAGATATAGAATGGAGAAAAATGCCTCATTTCCATTACTTTCTCACTCCATTTATGGGTACACTAATTCTGGATTATTTAAACAACTATCAAGAACATTTGCTGAGAGGAGGGAAAGGGAGAGGGACGTGAGATTGACATGTGAAGAAACCTTGTTTCTAATTTGAATTTAAATTTAAAAATAAAAATTTTTAATAAAAAACTGAAAAAAAATTTCCATTGGTAGGCAGCCATCATAGGATTACCTGGACCACAGCTTGTGAGACATTCTCCATTCTAATAAATCCACTTTCTACATAAAAAAAAAGAACATTTGCTAGTCTGACTTTGCTTTTTAAAGGTAAATAGATTTACCTGGTCTTTCCACCTTAATAACTTCTGCTCCAAGGTCGCCTAAATTCATCGTAGCAAAAGGTCCTGCCAGTACTCTATAATGTTAAACAGTGATAGATAAATGACCATCTTGAAAATCTATGTATTAACTAATTTAAATCAACCACAGAGACGTTCATATAATACCAGCAATGATCAAACTTGCTAAAATTGTAATTTTCAACATTTATCAAGAGCTTTAAAAAATTATAACCCCTTGATGCAGGAATTTTATTTCTAGAATCCTATCCAGAGAAAGAAATTGAAACTAAAGCAAAGATTTGCATATAAAAAGACCTTATTCAGGCAAATGGGTGACATTTATAAATGTCATCTTTCATTAACTTTAATGAGCATAGAAAATTATTCAAAATATATTGGTACATTTAAAATAAAGGTAAAATAATAATTTCAATATAGTTGCAATTTGGGGAATAGTTAATTACATGCAAATATGTATACTGCAAAATTTCATAATATATACTTGCTGTCTTTGAAAATAATGATAGTCCAGAATTTCTTTTCTGATTATTCATAAAAACTCCAACACAAGCATGTAAATATCTCTTTATAATTAAAAACTAATAAAGCCTTTTCAAAAAAGGGGGGAAGCTCAGTCACTAAACTGCAGGCAATCTTGTTACCTTGTTAGATCCAGAATTCTCACACCCTCCAGTGGCTTCATATTATCAGTATCTGGCAAAACAGATAACAATGAAGAGTATGAATTACAACTTTTCAAAGTCAACAATGCATAATTCTTCATATTCTCCTTTGTTGTCTGTTTTTTTCCAGACAGGGCTTCTGTGTGTAGCTTTAGAGCCTATCCTGGCACTCGCTCTATAGACCAAGCTCCGCCACCACTACCTGGCCTGATTCTTAATATTCTAAGTAATCTGTTATTATCGAAAGTAATTTTTCTTCACAATAATTCTGTTAGATATGTAACATAGAAACCTTAGCCTGTCTCATTTAAAAAAAAAATCTAGGGCTAGGCGATGGTGGCACATGCCTTTAATCCCAGCACTCGGGAGGCAGAGGCAGGCGGATCTCTGTGAGTTCAAGACCAGTCTGGTCTACAAGAGTTCCAGGACAGCCTCCAAAGCCACAGAGAAACCCTGTCTCGAAAAACCAAAAAAAAAATCTACAGGGGTCTAATGGACACATATGGAAAGGGACCAGGGACTGGGAAGCCTGTAAAGACTGAAGGCTGCCACTCAAGTCTCCCAACCAAACACCAAGTGGAACCTGCTGCAGCCAGAGGGATGTGACAACTTCACCTTTCAGACCAGCACACCTTTGCCATAGCGTATTCTAATTGTTCTTCCTGCTATTTAATTCCCACCCTTGCCTGTATGTCCCCTGATGGTTTTGATTTTGATTGCTCAGTCAGGTTCCTGTTCTGTGTATTTCTCTTCCCACTCTTTTATGGGTACTTTCTGCTTGTACTTTTCACCTGACTCTCATATACTTCCTGTTATTCTTGTCTCCAGCCCACCCACACCCTGCCAGCCCTATACTCTCTTTATTTTTTGATTACACCATCCCTAACTTTAACAATCTCTAAAATCTGTGGGTCCTAACAGTATTTTGGCTTTCTCCTCCCAGTTTGTTGCCCACCATATCAATTATTTTTATTTTCAAAGTCCATCTAAGTCTAATACATATCCCTATCTTTGCTTACCTACTTCCCTCTCACACCTAATCTCAGTTACGAAAATTAGCATATGCTCTACTACCCATGTTTGTTTATCCTTCAACACTTACTGAAGTCAAAGGGACTGGACTGGCTGGTTCTGTGTCAACTTGACACAGCTAGAGTCATCAGAGAGGAAGGAACCTCAGTTGAGGAAATGTCTCCATGAAACCCAGCTGTAATGCATTTTCTCAATTAGTCATCAATGGGAGAGGGCCCAGCCTATTGAGGGTGGTGCCATCCCTAGGCTGGGGTCCTGGGTTCTATAAGAAAGCAGACTAAAAAAGCCAGGGGAAGTAAATGAGTAAGCAGCATCCCTCCATGGCTTATGTGTCAGCTCCTGCCTCCAGGATCCTACCCTAATTGAGTTCCTATCCTGACTTCCTTCAATAATGAACAAAAAAATGGAAGTGCAAGCCAAATAAACTCTTTCCTCTCACCAACTTGCTTTTTGGCGTAGCAATAGAAACACTAAGACAGGGACCACAACTGTTAACTGACTAATAAAACATTTAAATAGTCCAACTGGATATAGAAAAATGCCTTACTGAAACTCTCCTGCAAAGTTATTATGGATTGTCTCAATTAAGTTGAAACTAACCACTGGGACTAGTAACATGGCTAAGCTGCTAAAGGCAGTTACTTCCAACCATGACTTCTATACCTGGAACACATGGAGTAGAAGAAAACCAACTCCTCCACAAGTTGTCCACTGACCTCCAAACATTCATTGGGGACATGCACACCTTTTCTGCATACACACACATGCAAATAAAATAACAAGATCTGGGAAGAGATGGTGAAGGAGGGAAATATGTTCAAAATATATGAAAAAAATTAAAAACCAGCCTGTGGTGGTGTAGTCAAAATAGTGGTTACCAGCTAGGCTGTGGTGCACACACCTTTAATAGCAGCACTCAGGAGGCAGAGGCAGGCTGATCTCTGTGAGTTAGAAGCCGGCCTGGTCTACAAATCAAGTTCCAGGATAGCCAGAGCTGTCACACAGAGAAACCCTGTCTCCAACAACAACAACAAAAGTACTCAAACACATCATTGTAAAAATCTGAAAAATAAACTTATTTCTAACAGAAAAGGGTATTGGATCCCCCCTGGAAATGGGGTTATAGGAGTTTGGGAGCAGTTCAATGTGTGTGTGCTGGAAACTGAACTCTGGTCCTCTGCAAGAGCTGTAAGCAGTCTTAAGCACAGGACCACCCTTCCATCTTCAAATATCAGATTTCTCAATAACATCACTAGAAGTTAAAATGAAGCAAAATAGTTTTTAAAAGTGAGGGTACAGGAATTTCTTCCCTATGTTCTAAATCCAATCAAGATACAAAACATGTGTGAAAATAGAAAAATAATAATTGAAACCTTTGCCTTCATGTATTCTTTCTCAGAAATAAAATTGCCGCTAGGTGTCACCATTCAACAAAAAGATGAGTAACAAACAAGTACAGTGGGTTATACAGAGAACATTAGAAAGGATGCATGCTGAGGATCAAGATGGGGTACAAATGATACTTAAAATGAAGCAGGAAAAAAACTGTTAAGCTGATCACAGACACGTGGACAGTTGAACCTTTGAACTGAACTGCAGACATAAGACACCACCCTGCACGAACTGACTTTTGAAATACTGTTAAATCATGTGTCATAATTTCTGACTAACAACTGATATTTGTATTTAAAATTACAAATGCATGAAAACTGCCCCAGGAAAGGATAGCAGAAACTGCAAGGGAACTACTACTCCTCGAGAGATCTCAGTGGCAAGTGGCATGCAGGAATCCAAGGCAACTACTAGGAAGGGATTTACTACCTCTGCTCTACCATACACCAGAACACCAATGCTACAGAGACCAGTGGTTCCTACTCAACCCTCCCACACATGGTATCAAGTGAAGCTAGACCTGATAGAGCCAGATGAATCTCAGAACTTTAGTTTTCCACAAATCACAGCTGTGCCAGCAACTCGTTCTATAAGTATTCTTTTTTATTTCCTACTTAGGTGTTTAATTTCCACTCTTCCATATATGCCTCATGATGGTTTTGAGTGTGCTTGTATATTGTTCACTTAGATTGCAGGACTGTTGGTTATGTTTCTCTGCCCAGATACCTTAAGACATACTTTCTTACAATTTTCAATCCCATCTTGGGTTTTCTTCTTTCTCTTGTTCTTATATCTCTCCTTTTTCTTCTTGATTGTAACCTGCCAAAGATTTAATGATCTCTAAAATCTTTGAATCAGGAGCTGGAGAGATGGCTCAGTGTTCAAAAGTGCTAATTGTTCTTGTAGGGGACCAGGTTCAGTACCCAACACCTGTACCAGATGGCTCACAACTACCTCTAACTCTGTGGGCACCTGCATGCATATAATGTGCATAGACACTTGTGCACACATCTGCAAACACACAAACACAAATAAAAATAATACATTTTTAAAAGCAAACAAATGAAATCTATGGACCCCGAAAGCATCTGAGCTTTTCCCTCACAACTACTTTACCCATCTTTTTTTTTTTTAATTCCAAATGCTAAGTGTCCATTTTATTCCTGATACATCCTCAGAGGTAGGACGAACATTTTCACAGATACACGAATCCCAGGGCCTGAAGGGTAGGGGGACTCATGTCTTCAGTTTTTCCACAAGTTAGTCATCTTCATCAAAGGAACACCAGTCACCATCAATCACCATGTGTACTTTCTCCAGCTGCCTTCTCACCTGGCTTCCACAGGTCCATTATCCACAGATTGGAGGTAGGGTACAGGAATGGAGAACACAGCTTCAACAATCCAGAGGTACTGAAGGCATTCTTATCAGGCTGGTGAGACTCTGGTTGCAAGGGAGGGCCAATGACAGCACGTCACAGCAGTTGGAAGTCAACCTGAATGCCTCCAACCCGAGTCTCCTCAGGGAACTGCCACTTTGCTTTAGTCCCTTTACACAGGGCTATGGCAGCGGCAAGAGGACTACAGAGATGTTTACATAACCTGGTCTACGCAGTGAGCACCAAAGCAGCAGGATACATAGTGAAACCTATATGCATGAATAATATGGAGTACCATCTCAAGGATCCCCTGCTGTTCAGTCTCTGCAATGTTTTTATAAATATTGCCACTTTGAAGATTTTATTGACCAATAGCTTTGCACACATTAGTATCATCAAAGAGAATTTTTAAAAGACCATTTTATTTGAGATTTGACTATTCATTAAATTTTGTGACCCAAAGTTAACAGGTGTTTCACAATCATTTTCAAACATACATAGCACAATGCAGAGGAAACCTGAACCACCAGTGCACGTTTCCATCTTAAATCAACAAGATGATCTTCATCCCTCTTCTTTCAACTGTTATTCCAGAAACAAGTGTCCATTTGGCAATATGTTTCATATTTTTTGCTTTTTATTGTTGATTTCACTGATTAAAAACAAATATAGTGGTAAAATGGTATCTGATATTGCTGATCACAAGAAGGATATTATATACTTAATGAGAAAGTTTTATGGAGAAAAGGCACATTAGCTAAGCTTAATTCTAGTATGAATTAGTGTTGTTATGAATTCAATACTGATAAATTAACAGTATTGTTACATAAGGTGTCTTAAAACAGGAACATTTATAAAACAAGGCCACATATTAACACATTGATGAAATATGTGAGCAGTCATGAAGGACCTTAACCTTGTGTTTGCCCTAGAAGCGAGTTCATTATTCAGTATACACTACTACATGAATCCCTGGATGAATGCTGTGGAAACATGAGGGTTAGGTTACCTGCAAACCTGAGACAAGCTTTAGGAAGCCTACAAACAAAATTTAATGTATTACTAAAATTCAACTTGGGGACCACAGTTTGGTTCTAAATATCCACGTCAATGGCTCACAACAGTCAGTACCACTAGTTCCAGAGAACTCCCGGGCAATTTCACATGCTTGCATATGGGCTCGCTCAGGAACACACACACACACACACACACACACACACACACACACA